AACCCGCGGGCTCAGGCAATTCACTCACCTCAGCCTCCCAAAGGCGCGGGATTACACGCTAAGCCAACGAGCCCGGCTTGGGAGCAGGTTTCATTTATTATCTGACTATGCCCAGGGTGCTTTGCCTGTCTTGGTGATTGCTGGATCTTCCGTGCTTGGCTCACACTGGGCCCGCCCTTAATAGTTGTGAAGAGAATGAATGACTGATGTTCCTGAATTTCCTTTTTCTAATGTGGGATCTTGGCTTTTTTATTCCTCGTAGTGTGTCTTCTTTGGGTCCCAGCTGCTGCTGGAGAGCGGCCACGTGGCTTCCTGCCTCTGGGACTGGGCCTCCTCCTCCCCCACTTTTGCGGGGGGAGGGCGAGTGTCTGCCCGCCCCTCCTTTCCCTCCACTTTCTCCTGCCCTGCATCCCAGCAGCTCAGTCACGATTGGACCCGCCTCCACCTCCATGCCCATGTGCGCAGAGCACAGCGCGCCCATGGCTGGGTATGGGAGGAGTGGCCCCTCATCACCCGGTCACTGTTCTCACGGAGAGCCCCAGGGTGCTTCAGTTTCTGAGAATTTGCCATGAAAATTGTACTGAACTGCCCCCAGGAGCGAGCAACAGGGACTCGTGGGGCGCCACCCACCCTGCCACCCCCAGAGCCTCCCAGGAGTTGCCCAGCTCAGGAGCGGTAGGGGCAGATGAAGACTCAGCACTGGGCCACTTACCACTGGGCCATCTAGGTTCGTGACCAGTGGCCCGGTCCTTAAAAGACCACCCAGGGATTCCCAAGTTCTTCGGAGCAGAATTTCCTTAGAGGTGAACCCCCAAAGGGGTATGTTCTAGACAAGTCAAACTTGGAGGGAGTGTTACAGAACCCTGGCCCGACTGTGCTTTGAAACCTCAGAAATATACATCCTTGGTAACCGAGTGTAGGAGGGGGGAACCAAAGAAACCCGGAATTTATTTATAAGGAATTTTGTATTTATTCTTCCATGTTTAAACTTCAGTCACCTTCAAATTACTCTCTGAGGCAATACACCTATTGAGATGCTTTTTTTACTGCTCAAAACGGTTTTTGAACTCATCAATTTTGATAGCTTTTAGTGCTTTTGCTGTTTTTTGTTTCACCTCTTCCACATCAGCAGAATGTTTACCTTTGAGGACTTGTTTCATCCGGGGAAACAAAAATAAAAGGTGCTTGAGTTGAGATCAGGTAAACAGAAAGGGTGGGGCGCAGGGATCATGCTTTTTTGGTCAAAAACTGCTGAACACTCAGCGTTGAGTGGGCAGGTGTGCTTGTAAATCACCCATCATGAAATGGGCAAAACGTGTTGACAGAATCTCAAAAAAAAAAAAAAACAAAAAAAAAACACTGAGGCCGAATGTAGCCTCTCACAACACTAGCTGGCACACCGATGTCCATGTGCTCCTAGAACACTCACCTAGTGGGGAAAGCCTGTACTACAGGGGCCTGCCATCAAAAGAATAATTCTGGGGTATTTGGGTTCCCCTCTCATGTTAGTGGCTCATTGCACACATGTACTGTGTGCCAGGTCATGTTCTGGGGACTTCAGCTGCATTGTTTTGCAGCAGCTGCATGAGCTAAGTGATATCCCCATTTTACAGGCAAGGAGACAAGCTAGAGAAGTGACAGGAACTGTCCCATGTCACCCAGCTGAGGAAGTGCCAGAACTGGGATTCGGCTGCCTGGGCCGTTTCTGTATCCTTCCTGCCTTGCTGTCAAACAAAATGTGCACAGACAAAAGCAGCCAAAATACCTCTGCTAGCACCCCAGCAAGCTAGGGCCCCTATTGCCTTTGGAGGGACCCTGCAGCCCAGTGGTGGCCTCGGGAGGTCCTTCTAGATTAGGAGGGATTTGACAGGGTTGAAGAAGCCATTTGACCCCTGGCTGGCTGCTATGACAAGCTCCTTGGTGTCAGCCTGACAGTGAAACAGCTCTAGTGTTAACACACATGCACACTAAACCTAGGTTTGCTCATCTGTGAAATGGGCATAGTGACTTTGTTGTGCAAAGAGATTGGGGCTGGCCTCCCTTTGGTCTAGCCTGGAACCTTTTTGGGTTTATCAATTATTGATCTAATTAAGATAGAATCTCAAATGAAAATTATCACATAAAGACCATGGCTAGGCACGGTGTCTTACAACTGTAATCCCAGCATTTTGGGAGGCCAATGCTAGAGGATTGCTTGAGGCCAGGAGTTCGTGACCAACCTGAGCAATAAAACGAGACCCCTGTCCCTACAAAAAATAAAATAGCCAGGTGCAGTGGCTCACACCTATAACCCCAGCACTCTGGGAGGCTGAGGCAGGAGGATTGTTTGAGCCCAGGAGTTGGAGACCAGCCTGGGCAACATAGCAAGACCTCATCTCTACAAAAAATAAATCAGCCAAGCTTGTTGACGGTGTTTGTGGTCCCAGCTACTGGGGAGGCTGAGGCAGAAGGACTGCCTGAACCCAAGAGGTGGAGGCTACGTGAGCTGTGATGGAGCCACTGCACTCCAGCCTGGGCGACAGAGACTCGGACTCAAAACGTAAACACACAATAGATAAAAACGAGGTAGAGAGTGGGGCGCAGGGCTTCCCAGGGCCTGACGTCCTGCCTGTCGTCTCTCCGCAGACTCGAGCCCCCCGGCGCGCCTCCTGGCCACCCGGCAGTGCTGCGGGCCCGGCCCGGAGCGGCGCCCGGTGCTGGGGGAGGCGCCGCGCTTCCACGCGCAGGCCAAGGGCAAGAACGTGCGGCTGGACGGCCACTCGCGCCGGGCCACGCGGCGCAACAGCTTCTGCAACGGCGTCACCTTCACGCAGCGGCCCATCCGGCTGTACGAGCAGGTGCGGCTGCGCCTTGTGGCCGTGCGCCCGGGCTGGAGCGGCGCGCTGCGCTTCGGCTTCACGGCGCACGACCCGTCGCTCATGAGCGCCCAGGACATCCCCAAGTACGCCTGCCCCGACCTGGTCACGCGGCCCGGCTACTGGGCCAAGGCGCTGCCCGAGAACCTGGCGCTGCGCGACACGGTGCTGGCCTACTGGGCGGACCGCCACGGCCGCGTCTTCTACAGCGTCAACGACGGCGACCCGGTGCTCTTCCACTGCGGCGTGGCCGTGGGCGGCCCGCTCTGGGCGCTCATCGACGTCTACGGCATCACCGACGAGGTGCAGCTGCTAGGTAGGTGGCGCCCGGCTGGCGGGGGGGGGGTGGCGACCCCTGGACGGACCCTGTGCACGGGCGGGGGGGGGCATTTTGTTGGTGTTCACAGCCACTTAGGGAGGGCCGCCGTTGCCAGGCGCTTTACTGCCTTGCGAGGCATTGATTTCTCGTGGCAACCTGCCACGCCCATTTTATAGATTAGAAAACTGAGGCACGGAGGGGTTAAGTCATGTGCGAGGCAAAGCCAGGATTGGAACCCACAGGGTTGAGCCCACGCTGCCGCCAGGTTCATTCATTTTCTCATTCCTTGCTCCTCTGTTCATTTGCTAACTCATTCTTTTCTAATAGAGATGAGTCTTGCTATGTTGCCCAGGCTGGTCTCGCATTCCTGGACTCAAGCAATCCTTCTACCTCAATCTCCCAAAGTGCTGGGATGACAGAGTTGAGCCACTGTGCCTGGTCTGCTCACTCATTCACTCATTCACACATGTTTGTATTCATTTGCTCCTTCAATCAGTCATTCATTCATTTACTCACACTTCTGCTTGCTCTTCAGTCATTCATGTCCTCACTCAGCAGTCTATACCCCTGCTCTCTGGCACCAGAGGAGAAATGCCACAGCACAGGCTGTGAGCAGTCAGGTGCAGCAAACCCCAGCCAGAGGTTACAGGGCTCTGAGGCCTGGGGAGGCAAGTGAGTAGAGGCCAGTTCTCCCCAAGGAGGCAGCCACTGAGGCGGAAGGCCTGGAGGTGAGAATTCAGGGGAGGAGGAGTGTGATGCCCTTACCTCAAGACCTTATTTTCTTAATTAAAAAATTTGAGATAAAATTCACATAACAGAAAAGTAGCCACGTTCAAGTGTACAGCTAAGCAGCATGTGCTTGGCCATTGTCACCTTTGTCTAGTCCTAAAGCATCTCACCACCCCAAAGGGAAACCCACACCCACAAAGGACCACTCCTGATTCTCTGCTCCCCCCAGCCCTGGCAACCGTGAACCTGCTTTCTGCTGGGGACCTTGGTCCTTGGACCTGCAGGCTACCCCTGCACTAGCCCAACCTTACTCCTGCGGGAGCTGAGGAGCAGTGGGATCCCAGGGACTCTGGACGCAGCTCGGTGTGTGAATTACCTACAGGGAAGTGTGCAGATCTAGAGGTGGGTGGGTTTTGATGGGTTTATACGCCCATTCATAACCCAGGAAGTTCCCACCCGCCCTCTACCCAGGGGTGGCCACTGTTCTGAATTTTCATCTTAGGTTAGCTTTGTCTGTTCTTGAACTTCACATAAACAGAATCGCATGGTGCGGATGTGCTGGTGTCTGACTTTTTAATCACAGCACAGTGTTTTCAAGATTCATCCGCATTGTTGCTGTGTGCATCAGGAGTTTGTTCCTTTTCATTGCTGAGTAGTATTGCATGGTCTAGATGACCAGAGTTCGTATATCTGAGGTCTGAGCTACTTCTGGTTTTTGACCCCTGCATCTTGTGGGGAAACCCTGGCTTGGGTACCTTGCTTCCCCCCAACCCAGCCCATTGCCACCCCTCCTTTGGGCAAGGAGGGAAGAAGGAATGTGGCAGAGCTCTCAAGCTGTCAAGAGTGGGGTTGGATCACACAGACCTCTGTTCTAGACCCAGCTCTCCACTTGCCACCAGTGTGGCCCTGGCCAGGTGACTGAACCTCTCTGTATGTCAGTTTTTCACCTGTAAAGTGGGTTTGTGAGAGCGCTCACCTCATGGGATTCCTGGCAGGGTTACGTGAGGCGATGTGTGAAAGGAAGGCAGCACGGTGCCGGCACACAGAAGGCCCTCAAGCATTAGCAGCTCAGAGGTATGGATCTCAGCCCGTGTGCAGGCAGACTTGCTGGCACGCCAGTCAGACTCCAGATGTAGACAAAGCAGACCGAATAGCTCTGCCCCTTCACAGAGGGCCTGCCTTGGGCACGTCAGCCGTGTCCCCCACGCTCTTTCCCACGAAGGGTTTTGGCAAAACCTCCTCAACCTCCTGTCTCCTTCTTGGAGTGCTTCCCTCCCGTCCAGTAGGGAGACAGCTCCGCCCTGTTCCCCCACTCACTGGAGCCACAGCCCAGCCATCACCAGCACGAGTAGATTCAGATCTTTTAGAAACAGATGGAAGCAGGCTTTGATGACTTAACGAGACTGGATAAACCTGTGAGGACGCACGGGCTCCTCTCCCCTCATTTACGCGTCCAGCAAACTTTTACTGAGTCTCTGTGTTTGGGAAAGAGAGAGGCAGGGCCCATGTTGATAGCACACATGAGCCCCAGTTGCCTTATCTGCAAGTCATCCCTGAGATGCCCACGCTGATGGGAGGTGCCTGGCACAGGTGCTCTAGGGCAGCGTTCATAGACTGGCGAGGGGGGATGAGACTAGAGGAACTCCACCTCTGGGTGATGAGATCCTGGGTGAATTTCACTTCCTGTGAGTTACTTTTTAAACAAACATATGTGTAAGGAGCTTGCATTGCTTTCAGGGTAGGAGAGTGCAATATAGTTATGTTGCTTTCTGAAGGTTATTTAAGAATGCAGGGGAGGTTCTCGGGTGTATGATTGAGGTGCAGTAAACATTTGTTTTCTTCCCAAGGGAAAAGCAAGTTGACATTGGTTACATCTGGGTAAAGGGGTGACAGGTGACTTTTTTTTCCTCCCAAGATAACAATGATTTATAGTCAGGAAGAAAAGTTAAAATAAAAACAAGAAGCTAGCCAGGCACAGTGGCTCATGCCTATAATCCCAGTGCTTTGGGAGTCAGAGGCAGGAGGATTGCTTGTGCCCAGGGGTTCAAGACCAGCCTGGGCAACAGAGTAAGACTTCATCTCTAAAAAAATAAAATAAGGAGCTAAGCAGTCAAGATTTTGCGTGGTTTAAATACAGGGAACAAGTGTGCTATATTGTCCACACAAGAAGAGGCAACATGAAAGCCTCAAAAATCCCACCAGAAATCTTCCAGTCCCTGAGAGGATTTGGCTTCCTGACGGTGGGGTCCAAGGTACCAAACGGAGACGCAGCCAGCAGCTGGTGTGTGTGTCGTCCTCAATACTCTGGATTCCTGTCCATCACGAGGAACAAAGGTACATGGTCCCTAGAGCTCCTCAGAACTGAAAACCCTGGAGGTCCCTTCCCTCCCTCGTTCACCACAATCAGACCCCACGGGGTAAGGCCTGAGAGCAACAAACAAAAGTGGCATCTGGCTGGGTGCCGTGGCTCAAGCCTGTAACCCCAGCATTTTGGGAGGCTTGAGCCAGCAGTTTAAGACCAGCCTGGGCAACATAGTAAGACTTCATTGCTACAAAATATCAAAAAATTAGCCAGAGTGTGGTAGTGCTCCTGTAGGCCCAGCTACTTAGGAGACTGAAGCAGGAGAATCACCTGAGCCTAGGAAGTCAAGGCCGAGGCGAGCAGTGATTATGCCACTGAACTCCAGCCTGGGTGATAGAGTGAGACTTGACTCAAAAACAAAACAAAACAAAACAAAAAAACAAATTGGCATCTGGATAGGTTTGTCAAATCTAGCAAATAAAAGTACAGAGTACTCAGTTACATTTGGATTTCAGTTAAATAATGAAAAATTGATAATGTCCCTTGCAATATTTGGAACATACTTATGCAAAACAATTTGTTGTTTATCTGAAATTCAAATGTAACTGGCCATCCCATGTTTTTTCTGGCAACCCCTGTCTGGGAAGCATACCCCCAATCTTGTGAGACTGGGGTGTACTTTATTTGCCCTGGAAGTTGAGTCAAAGTTAAACTTCAGAAATAAAAAGAGATTCTTAGACCACACGTATTTTGTTGCTGGTGGAATTGTGTGCCCAGCCCTGTGTCCTCCCACACCAGGCCCCACTGGGGCAGTGAACACTGCGTCCGTAGGGCCCGACCCTAGGTTGCCCTTTTTAGATAAAGAGGCCAGGGTTCAGAGGAGAGTGGCTAGCCTGGACCCAGCAGGTTGTATGTGGCAGAGCCAGGATTGGAACCAGCTGCGTCTGCATTTAGTCACATCGTGCTCACCAGAGAGCTCTGAAAATCCCATCCCGGGCTGCCCCCTGACCCTGTAAACCAGAACCTCTGGGGACAGCACCCAGGCATTTGGACGTCTTATGTCTGGGATGCAGTCAGGGTTGTGACCACGATCCTCTTCGTGGGGGGGCCCATGGGAGCCGCGTTGAGCCCTTCAGACTCCGCGGTTCTGGCCTGGTGTCATCACTGGACCACGCAAGCCCTGTCTCTCACCTCTCACTTTGACTTTTTTCGCTGAGTCTCTAAAGCCCTCTCCCTTCCAGGCCTTCCTCCAGCTAGGCAGGCGCCACTCCAACATGTGGCACAATCCCTTGAGTATGTTGTTTGAACGCGTGGGCCTGTTCTGTATGTTTCATACACATCTATGACTGGGGTTGGCTAAGGCTCTTATTCGGCTTTCTTTTTCCACTCGCCCTTTTAAGGATTCATCTCACCTTTTGTAGGATGTCTCTGCTGCCATGTGTCTGTCTGGTTCCTTGTTCCCTCGTGCCTCCCCCTACGCTGATGGTCCCCCACTCCCACACACAGCCTGCATGGTAGGGCCGTTGTCTCGTGGGGCTGCTCTGTGGATGCCCACTTAACGGTCTCGGGCGCAGACCAGGGTGGGCTTGCTGGGTCCCAGAGTGGGTCCGTCCTGAGAGCTTTGGATTTCTCTAGATGCTTCTCGGGACCAAAGAGAAGGGGCTGAGGCCAGGCAAATTCCTTTCTGCTGAATTTAGCCATTCCTGGACTCAAGAGAGGAAGGTCCTGCCAGACCACGCACCCTTTCCCCCTTTTCTCCCTGCTTGAGTATCCCTTATCTGAAATGCTTGGGCCAGAAGTGTTTGGGATTTCTGATTTTTAAAAAATATTTGCACTGTAGTTACCATTTCAGCATCCCTGATCCCCAAATCCCAAATCCAAAATGCTCCCATGGGCATTTCCTTTGAGCATCACATCTATGCTCAAAAAGTTTTTGATTTTGGATTGGGGGTACTCAACGTGTATC